TAAAAATTGTGCCTTTAACTCCTCCAGGTAAATTTCTAAGAAATTTATTAAATTTCTAATAAAATTAATTGTTAGCTGTAACGCCGGCGTGCCCGCGGTCGTTGAGGGATTAAGAGTGGTATAAGTTATTTTGTTAAAAAACAATGATATAAGTATGTACAAGTTGGTTAATAACTATTATATTTTATATTAAAATGTTACATTCACATATCATGCTGCGTCTTAATTCAACTGGCAAAAATTTTAGAATACAGATTTTCATCACTGTGTTTTCTCTCTCTACACCATTAGGAAGAGTACGTAAATAAAAAAAATGAAAACATAATTTTGCCCAAAATTACCCCTTCGTAATTAAGATATCGGATGCGGCACGTGTCGGATAATACTATACACAAAAATAAACATTGGTGTTTGTTCGTATAAGCCCATCATCCTCGGGCAGTGTCGACTGCAGAGTATTGTTAATTATTGGTAATTATAATGGGATTACTTTTATAGTTTTAGATATTTATTTACCAGATTTAACTCTTAATAAGGCAGCAGTTTAGGATGTATTTTTCAAATGTTACGTAAATAGGAAAAATCTTAAGAGATTATCAAATAAGATTACTGTTGGAAGGATTTTCTTTCGGAAACGAAAATAAAAATCCCATTACGCTGTTTCCGATTTATCCGCGATTAACCTGAGATACATATCAATAGACCAATAGATAGATAAAACATTTGATAACATTTGGCATGGATTCTATTATAAATTGCCTCATTGTATGCATTGTATGTGAATATCATAGTTTCGAGTCCCAGATCGGACTAAGTAAAATGATTTGATGAAAAGGGGTTTTTTTAGAGTTAGGAAGTTAGCGGTGCTACGCACCCGTGCCTCGGAGACCACGTACAGCCGTCAGCCCTGTGCATGATTTTTCACCACTCGTGTTAAATTCCCATCAAATCATATTTTGGAAAGGAATATAGACTAACTGAACTTGTATCTGCGGGTACACAGTTGAAGCCCAGTGGTTACGCCCTCGCTTGGGAAACCGAGTGAAGCGTCTCGGACCTCTGATATTTTCATGTGCGAATCATTTTACCGTTTGGGTTACGGTCAAGCAAAACATCGTGAGAAAACCTGCATGTCTGAGAGAACCTAGTACGTTTTCAAAAGACATGTGAAGTCCGCCAACCCGCACTTGGCCAGCGTGGTGGCCTGTTCCCCCATGTAGTAAAATGAGGCCTGTGGACAGTAATGGGACGTTAAAAAGGGATGAATATATGTATAACAAACAGGTTTCCCTTGTATAATAATGTAAAATTTAAGTCTGTACTAAGTCAGGATAAAGCCAGAAAATAAAAAGTAGTACATAAATTTATGTATAGTTAGAGAGTCGACCTTATTTTTTCTCACCATTCATTCCTATTCTTACTGAAATGCAATTTCCTTTCTCTAATACTTTTTTCTAATTCCATTCCGTCGGCTCTCGGTTATAATTTTAATTTGCAGTTTTATTTCTAAATGCCGTTAACAGAATTTCATCTCGTTTTCTTCTATTTGTCCCGACGTTTAAATTTATAATATGCTAAATGTGAACACAAAAAAGGACTATAAGCTTATACGTTCTTACAACAAAATGATTTTTTAATTTTTCATTTACAGCCACTCCAACTCTAAATATATTTAATGAATTTACCTATATTTTTTTTGTTTATCATACATTAGTATGTCGTGTGTGTGTATATATATATATATATATATATATATATATATATATATATATTATATATAAAATATGAATAATAAAAATAAAACATTATTCTTTTGTATTTTTAAGCATAAGTTCTCTTCTCTTTGGGAGAGATACAACATAATATTAGCTTTTTTTTCTTTATTATAATAATATTCGTTAGCCATTTTCATATATTTACATTTATTTACTTATCATTTAGTATACAATCACCATACAAATTATCAATTGTATACTATTTTAAAACATTATTGTTCAGCTTCATGTTTAGTTCTATGGCACTCTGTCTATACTATTCCTTAGCAAAATTTTATATTATTTGTATTAATTTGACAAATTATTTTGTACCGCGACTCACCTTCGCTTCACGATTCGTCCTTAGCTTGATTCCCCCCTTAAGGTATGATTTCCATAGTAAAAAGTATCCTTTATCCTTTTCAGGGTCTCAAACTATCTTCTTACCTCATCTAAATCGGTTCACTAGATCCAGAGATTACCCCCTAAAACATCACAAACTCACAATTCACAAACTTTATCTCTTTATTATATTAGTATAGGTAAGTATTGATTATACATATATATATTTATATATATATATATATATATTTTGTATACATAAGTACTTTTTTTTTTCTCTATTTTTTTTATATTATGATTGCATCGTCTCGTTTCTATCTTGTTAAATCCTCACCAAAGGTGGTCTGTTAGAAATTGCTTTTAGCAATAACACCGACTTTGTATACTCACTTCAAAATCAATGAAAACTAAGTATTCCATCCCCAGAAGGAGATTTTTTTAAAGAAGAATAAGGTATTAATCTGAAGATATCACATTACATACCCACAAAAAGGTATATAAAATTAACGAATTGAGTCTTTATAGAGTCGGAAAAAAATAGTAGGTATTTATATTAAAAAAATTATAATCTTCTGAATTACATAAAGACGTAGTGGATGGTCGTTTTTTTGTCTGTACTCGCATCATTACATCGCATCTGCTTATTTTGCCGCAGAATCCCGCACAATATCGATATTATCTTAATCGATCACTATCGATCTCCCAGCATCCCATTCATGTGGAGTCGTGCGCTTTCTTAGTTGCATCTAAAATTTGCCGAATTCATGTCTAAAGTACAAAAGGCTGCCGACATACGCGTTTAAAGGGATTGCCGACAGTTTTCTGGAAGGGTTAAGTACCATACTCACTGGATTGTCATGTATTGCAAACATTTTTTCATGGCAGCGATAGAATTGACCTTTTTGTTGAAAAACTCTTTGCTGCTACCGATAGGTAGATCATACCTATGTTATAATTATAATCTAGCGATATAAGTGACTTTATTCTTGGGGAATTACAAAGGGAGATAAAAAACATACGAGAAGTAAAACTAGAATTTTGATAATAAAAAAATGACTCGCAGCAAACCTCTGAGCTTTTGGGATATTTTGTTCCTTTATATAAGTTATACATCAAGAGTAACAAACATCATCTTAATTTTAAAAAATAAAGATTTGAATAATATTATTAAGATAAAATTATTTAACCTAAGTATATTATTAAAATTTAAATTATGTATCATAATATATAATATGTGACTCACCTACGCTTCGCTTGGGTTCGTCCTTAGATACGTTTTATTTATTTGAGCGGAACGCTAGTTCTATTTCTAAAATACAAGTAGCCTATGTTACTTCCTATAACATCAGCTATCTTCCAGTGAAAATCCCGTCAAAATCAGTCATCGTTTCAGAGATTATCCGGAACAAACAGACAGATAGACTTATAAAAAATAAAAAAAAATGAGTTTTTCTTATAAGTACCGTATATAATTTCATACGCATTTAGTAAAACGCTGTTATTTTGACATTACAAACAGACACTTCAATTTTATTTATCAATTAATTAATTAATTATCAATTAAACTAAAATAATGATTTCATTTGTTTTAAATAAAACCATTATTTCATTTTTGAATAAAATTTACTTATAAAGGTATAAAGAAAGTTATAAAGCTTCTTACAAAAATGATGTAAACTTATATATTTATCATACTACATGTTGTGATTGATAACTGGCATAAGTTATAGTTAGCAACAACCATGGATGCTTCAGGTGACTCTGGGTATCCCATGCGGCCATGATTGTTGACACCTATACTAGATGCAGTACCTGGCTCAAGAGAAGAAATTTATACTCGACGCCATATTCAGGCAAGAAACTGTATAGAGGGCTGCTTCGGATTACTCAAATCACTATGGAGATGCTTATTAAGACACAGGACACTGCATTACCATTCTGGCAAAAAACGTACTCTGGTAAAGCCGAGAAAATGGTATTTGCATGGTCTGTTTTACATAATATGGCAGTTGAATAAATATATCTCTCTACCTCTAGAAAATATCACCAGTGTTGGCCAAAATGAGTTAATCCGAGGCTCTACCTCGGATACACCTCACAATTTATTGTTAAGATTAGAATAAAAATTATTGTTAAGCGTAATTTAGTAATTTTAATTGTAAATATATAGATTTAGCATTAAGTTGATTAATTTTAGATTATTATATTAAAATAGTATTTGTGTATTATTGAAAATTAAATAATGTATGTTAATTTAAAAACTGGTTTAATTTATATTACAAATGTGAGAAATTTATAAAACTATTATATCTATACAAGAAATAAATTCAACAATAAAAATAATTTGTCATTTTTTTAAACAGTAAGTATTCTAATATAATATACACAATCATTCAAAAGTAACTTAAAAAATAGCTTATAGAAATAAAATTAACAATAAAAAATAACATGGCATTTTTGAAATTAGTAAATATTCTATATCTATAAATGTTAAAATAAAATAAATAAATATTTTTTTGTTTGACAGGTGAATTAGTCCAGAGTGTTCTTAGCTATGTTTGATGAAAATAGGTCCAAGATGGTTAGGGGTTTTGTTAATTTTTTAATTTAATTTAGTTATTCTATATAAAACAAACGACTTAACCTCGCTTCGCGCGGGTGCGTTCCTAGACACTTTATAAATAGATGCCTATATATAGTTATTAGCCAGCATAAGCAATGTAAATATAAATATTTTTTGTGAAATTTTAATAGTTATTCTGCTATTCAGGGCGGAGACAAAAACAAACCACAGATAAAAAGTCGGTCCAGCCGTTCTTGTTAATAAATGGTATACTAACCTGACTCTGTTATACACATACATACATACATACATATACATATATATCTAAAAAATAATATTTATTTCATGTCGCGTGTTAAAAATCTCTCAATATTATCTAGTATTTTTTGTAGTATCCTGTTTCTTTGAGATTCGATGCTTATTCTTGCCGTTTCTCTTTCGTGCTCCTTGGTCATGTGCATCTCTTCTAGGTGCAGTCTGCCTTCCTCGATGCGCACGAATTCCCTGGTGGCTTGTTGGAATGGGGTCAAGTGTAGTCGTCTGCGTTGCCCAATGCTGCTACGACGACGATGACGTGGGCGCTTACATGCTGAGGGCGATCTTTGAGCATCTACAAATGATAAAATTATTTGTTCAAAAAATTGTTTATTGGTCTATAATATCTTTATTAATATTATTAACTAGCGACTCACCCTCGCTCCGCACAGGTTTGTCCCTACTTATGTTTTAACGTTTAGTATAGATTTCTCAGAGACGAGATGTTTCCCTGCAGTAAAAAGTATTCTATATGTTGACCTAGATAATCAGTTTCCATCATACCAAACTTCATCAAAATTCCACCAGTGGTTTTTCTGTGATGCGCTCACAGACAGACATACCAACAGACAAGAACTCTAAAAACTATAGATTCGGACTCTGTATCGATAATAATGTCTATTTCAATAAGATTTTCCAAAAAATATTTAATGTACAGATTCGGCTTAGTTACAATTTTATTATATGTATAGATATGTTGTATATCATAACGAGAAAGTATATATTCTCATTATCTATACTAATATTATAAATGTGAAAGTGTGTTTGTTTGTCCTGCTTTCACGTCGAAACGGAGTAATGGATTGACTTATCACCGCGGGAGATTATTTAACTTCTACGGGAAAATACGTTATAATACAATCCAAAAAAAATATGATCAGAATTACTTGAAACTTGGTATTAATGCTCTTCAATGAAATTAAATAAATACGTGTTTTAGCATTTTTCGAAATTCATCCTAAAAGGGAGTATAATAGGGGATGAAAGTTTGTATGAAACTACTTTTTTAGAGATTTTTTTGTAGTTTTAGAGCGAGCGAAGCCGCGAGTTCTGCTAGTATCTAATAAATTAAAATATGTTTATATATGATTCTCACCTCCCGGTCTTTCCAAATTAGAAGATACAGGTGCAGTATGAGGTATCTCTGGAATTGGGAGTGTGCTCGCCTCTGTGCGCCATGCTTCCTCTACTGAAAGTCCTAGACTTCTGTGGGTGTTTTGGTGTAAGCGAGCCGGAAGGGGAAGTCGTAGCTAAAATGTTTTAAAATATTTTCTATTAATTTTTTATTTAAATCTTATTTAAAAGTAATGTGATATTAAAAGCAAAATGTAACAAAGTATACAACAATGTTCAGAATTTATTGAACATTAATAAACATTTACATGATAATACTTACTTCAAATCCTGCTTCTGGAACTTCTACGTCCCCTGAGAAAGAGCCAATACCAATGATTCTAAGGACCCGTTCTTCCAAAGAGTTAAGTGGTGTAACTGTATCTGGTCCTCCACCAGAGGTCTTCTTTTTTGTCTTTGTTTTCCAGTCAGACCACACCTAGAATAAACAGCGAAGAGTAAAAATATTTAATAACTTATAATAAGCCATTTAATTATTTGACAACTATTTCATCATTCATTGCAAAACAGACTATATCACTACCAATAGTACAATAAAAATGTTTCTATAAAATAATGAACTGTAATATATGTATATATACGTATGTATATATATATATATATATATATATATATTTAATTTAAAGGACTAAAAATTTGAACATATGAGTTTTTGATAAAAGACTATTTTCAAAATATATTTAGTGGTATACCCTTTTCCATTTATCAGCTTGATTTTGAACCGCACTCCCCCCTACAGAATTTAAAAGTTCTGCAAGCTCATTCCACAACCTTTTAGCTTTTAGCTTTCTTCGAGCCCCTCGCTGAGGTCTAGAAAGATCACCATTCCTAAAAAATAATAATATTGATAAGCACTGTCTACTAATTAATGAACGCCAATTTAAAGATATTAGAATAAAGTTATAAAAGCCTAATACTTCGTGATTCAGATGTCTAAGATTTAAAGTGGCAAATCAAATCAAAAATCCTGTTTAACAATATTTTTTTCAGAGAACACTTGAAACAAAAACGAAATTAAAAGCTCACAATGTTAAAATCATCTCGACATAAGTATAAATACATGAATTTAAATCACAAAATTGAAATTGATATTTATGTAAATTATTTTAATAACACTTACGTTTCCATAAAATCTAGCATAATACTATATTGTTGTTGGCTTGCACTTAGACTGTTTTCCATTTTAATTTTAAATAAATTAATTTGTATAATAAACTTAGAAAATGATTTTGGAAACCTAACAAGGCTGGATAGTCCTGACTCTAACACTACCCGATGCAGAAATGAGTCGATCTCAAGATAACTTACCCATTTTATGCTAAAGCTATTACCCCTCTGGTACGAACTTTAATCCTGGGAACCACTTCACAAAAGTCAAAAACAAATTCTAATCAACCTATTAAAACAAAACTATTTCTTAAAGTTACGACTTACACTACGAGCCACTTCAAATAAAATATAAATTAACTAGCATTGCCTGCGGCTCCACCCGCGTCCAGGTGACCAAAAACCAAATTCTTAGGTTTTACATATTTGTATACTCTTACATTGCAGTTTTTGTATTTTTTCTAAGAAATGAGATATTTTCCAGCGGTAAAAAGTATCCTATATTTTGACCCGGATAACCAGCTATCATCATATCAAATTTCATCAAAATCTGTCCAGTGGTTTTCTCGTGATGAGGTAACAGACAGACAGACATACAAATATTCTAAAAACTATAGATTCAGACTCTGTATCGATAATAATGTCTATTCCAATCAGATTTTCCAAAAAATATTTAATGTACAGATTTGATTTAGTTACAATTTAATTATATGTATAGATTATTCTGAAGGTACGGTATACTTGCTCGAGCGACGATTTAAAAACTTTTAGCCACTTCATAGGTGTTGAACAAAAACAACTCTACATTGATCTCACTTAAGCTGCTTTCTTGACGTAAATAACTAATATTTAACAACAACTATGATTTTTAACTACTTATCTTAAGAAGTGATCACGGTTTGACAACAAAACACTCCACAAATACTCAAATATATTTTTGAAAGTGGTTCAAATTTTAAAATGACCGCGATGACATATTAATAATATGACATGATATTCAATGTTTTTCGGTTATCACGCTAAATTTCATAGACAAACTTACGTGTTTCCTTAGAACGCTACGGAAAAACATTTGGCGTGAGCATAAGCTTTGAAATTCATCCCAAAAAGGGGTAAAATAGGGGATGAAAGTTTGTATGGAACCTACTTTTTTAGTGTTTTTTTTTAGTTTTAGCGCGAGCGAAGCCACGGGTTCTGCTAGTTATTTATTTATTTATATAAATAAGATGTTTCATTATATTAATAACTAGTGACTTACATCCCTCGTCCTCCCTCGGATACTCCCTCGGATTACAGTTATAATTTCCTGGGTTTTAATTTTTTGCGCGTAACTCTGATTCTTCTTCCAAAATAAAAGTAGTTCAAGTTACTCCTTATAAAATCAGCTATCTGCTAGAGAAAGCCCCGTCATAATCAGTCAAACTATTTCAGAGATTAGTCGGAACAAACAAACAAACTGACAAAAGATTAAAAAAATGTGTTTTTCTTATAAATACCGTACGAGTATATAATTTCATACACAATTACTAAAAAGCTGTTATTTTGAAATTACAAACAGACACTTCAATTTTATTTGTGTATATATACTATACTATTGTCATCGTCATACAATTCAACTAGTACGAATGGCAGTGTGTAATAGAATTTTGTTAGCTCAGCCTTTGTATTAGAGTACATGTTGCATTGTAAAGCTCACTAAATGCACCCCTTCATAGATTGTTAATCTTATAATGTTAAACGAGCAATTCTTGTATATATGTATGTATATAAAACTATTTCATGTATCTCGGAAACGGCTTTAACGATTTGATTTTTTTTAATTTAAAAAAGGCTTTGCTTTTTAAGATTATCTATATAGATAGTGTTATCTGAAAAAACCGCTACTTTTTAAAGAAATAATTATGTAAAAAAAAATGATTCTGTTATTTAAGTAATCTTAACTATTTATTTATAAAAAATAGATAAAAAAATTGTATCAAACAGGCACAAACGAAAATACACATGTATAGAAAATACGACTTTGTGATAGCAATCTGTGCTAGTACTAACTCTAACTAAGCTCGTTGTTGAATATTCAATCTTCCCACAAAGTGAATGTTGACATGTACGTATGCACATTGTACATGCAAATATAACCTCGGTATAGTAAATTTTGGCCAGTACTGTTCTATATATGTAACTACAAAGTGGGTAACAAGCGTCCATTTTGCGATAGAAATATAGCAAAATGTATATAAATCTCAGTGGTAAACTAGGTAACACGCTCGCTTGGGAAACCAAGAGAAGCGGGTTCAAATCCCGGGCCTCGCACCTCTGATATTTTCATCTGTGAATCATTTTTAACATGATTACCACTTGCCGTACGGTGAAAGAAATCTACGTGAGGAAATCTGCATATCTGAGAGAATCTAGCAAGTTTTCAAAACGCATGTGAAGTCCGCCAACCCGCACTTGGCCAGCGTGATGGACTATCGCCTGATCCCCCTCGTATTGAAGGGAGGCCCACCCCCTGCAGTGTGACGTTACAAAGCGAAAGTTAAGCGAAGCGAGGTTATGTCGCTAGTTAAAGATAAAATTTGTGCTTGCTTATATATGATCACTCTTGAGGTAAATCCTATTCTTTAATTAAAAAAAGTCATAAAAATCGATTTGAAGAATGATTTTAGATCTAGTAGGTACTTCGTTTTAAAATTTGGTCACTATTTATCAAAAAGCAGGAAAACACACTGATATACAGAGCTTCTAATTGTCGTAAGTCTTGAACGAAAGGTTAATTAGAATTTCAAGAAATATGAAAAAAAAAACAATATTGTTAAAATTATTTAAGTACGAATCATAAAACTAAAAGTAAAAAAATAAGCTTTTGTCCTTCTGTAATGTGCTCGTATAAAACTCGTCAATATGATTTTTTTAGAGCCACTAGCGACTCGCTCTCGTTTCGCTCGGTCCCTAGGTACATTTTAACGGTTATACATATATATATATATATATATATATATATATATATATATATATATATGTATAGAAAAGTAGGTATGTTCTTTAAAAAATAAAAATAAAATATCCTTTACGCACCCACCTGTCACACCCTTAAGGTACGATATCCGGGATAAAAACTATCCTAACGTCCTTCCCAGGGTCCCAAACTATCTCCATAACAAATTTCATCTAAATCGGTTCAGCGGATTAAGCATTACTAGTGGTTGAAATTCAATCATTTTTTTTATTGATAAAATTAAAGCTAAACAAAAAACGGTTGACAAATAGTGGAGAAAAAGGCAATAAATTGTTTTATTATTATTATTATTAATTAATAAACTAAATACGGCCTAAATAAATATATTTTTTTCTTACATTTTAATATTCACACATACACAATATACTGCTTAGTAACAATATACGCCTTCTTTTTCGTAGGAACAATGTAATTTTCAATCACACTTTTAACAAAAAAACGTTCTATTGTTAACGTTCATGTTAGAATTAACTAAAAAGCTTTTATCCAGTGCGTTGACATTCCAGCAATGTGAGATTAATGGGATTTCCCGGGATTATAGCAACGTTAATCCCGGACGCGTTACGTATTTGGGATTAGGCTGTTATTTTAGAATTGATAGAAAATCATTTTACTAAATTATATTTTTATATTTACTTATAAATTTTACTTATATTTACTTATCGCACACACAATTTATTTAAATCCCATATAATATATCTTAAAACATTGTAGGCTGGCACCGACTTCGAAAATATCTGATTAGGTATCTATTCTAAATGAAAACCTTCGTTTAATTATTTTTTACATTTTAGCGCCTGGAAGTCGGTTTTTATATTACATTCTTTATAGTGTTGGCGTATATTCTTTACTAGAAATTGGTCAAAGATACACAATTTATATCCAATACCTTTAAATACCTGCACAATTCAGTAGGCGTTATTTGAACATTTGGTTTTAACGAAATGCATTATGAATGAATAAAATTTGTACTATACAAAGGCCAGAGAGGTCAGCTTACAAAAGATGAAGCACTTTCATTCAACTACCTGCTGTTCGAAGGTGTAATAAATTTATAAAATCGATTCACCACAAATACTCTAAAAGATCCCACAATAGATGGCAAAATATGAATGAACGTAACATTGAAATATGCGAAAACGATGAATGAAAAATGTCTCAGACGTTCTGGCGTCGCTTATTTGGCTATTTGAAAGTAGTTTTTTTGTACCGGCACGTTTCTTTTGTCGCGTCTCGATGGGTTTTTATGTATAGGAAATAAATATTATTTATTTTTAAGTCATTTGTCAGATTTTATGTTATAGCTAGAATATTATTTTCGACGAATAAAAATCAAATTTGTAATGAATTTCTACTTTGTTATTTTTTTGGCGAATATATTATTATATAATAATAGCTTAGAATATCACAGCGTAGTCTTAATCGATAGAACTCATATAATACTCGTATAATACTAGTGACTTACCATTGCTTCGCCCGGATGCCTCCCTACTTTCCTGCTTGCTGTGCCAGTGTTCGTGGGTTCGAGTTCCGCTGGTGGCATTCATTTGTGTGATGAACACGAATGTTTGTACTCCAGTCATATTTACAATATGTATGTATTTAAAGTCATATATGTGTAGTGAATCAACTATCTGGCATTCATAACACAAGCCTCGTAGCTTACCATGGAACTAGATGGTGCTGTGTGTTAATGTCCCAACATTTATATTATATTTATATTATATTTATTTATACTAAGGATCCCAATAGAATATACATATTTACTATGTGATGTAAAGTTGTAGGGACTGTGCCAAGCGAGGACGAGTTACAAGTTATCAATAAAAATATATTTTCCCAGTCATTGATTCCATACACTGCTCACACTTTGTATCGGTTCGGTAGTTTTGAACAATTTATCAAACGCTTGAGTGCGATTGAAGTTTGGAAACATAAATGATTTATAGTTGATACTGTCTCAATTTGTTCTATTTCGCTTACCACGTGTGTGGCTAGAAGATTTTCACAGATAATATATGTAAATATATGAATATATCATAAGTTTTTTAAGCTAACA